TATATATATGTATGTATATAAATATATATATATATTTAATGAGGAATTTGTATATGTATACTTCACTCATTGCACACTCGCGCTGAGTGTTTGTTATGTTTCATGTACTAGATATATATCACTGAATCTTCTGAACACCTTTCATTGTCCACAGCGCATGGGAAGATGGGCACCTTCAGACTAACCAAGCAGGCCCAGCCTTTGGCTTGCCTATGGCTCGATTGTACACAGAATACTTCAGGGGCAGTCTGTGGTTGTATTCCTGTCATGGTATGTACGGCATGCTATTCACACTTGCTTATATGTGTATGATATATCCCTAATTATCTCGTTTTCTCATATATATAATATATATATATATATATATATATATATCATCTACGTGTACGTATATATGCCTATATGTATACGTCTATCCTCATTCAGCGGTTTCAAGCCATTTCATATTCTCTCAACGCTAAACATTTTTATATTTTATACCGGCAGGATACGGCACAGATGTCTTTATCCGATTGGGGCTTTCCTTAGACAATCGCGAAACGAAGCAACTGATATAAGCGAATACAACGATGCGCGCTCTCTATGTTCTATTTATAGATGGGATATACCGCATGACCCCACATGGCACTATTAGTTAGTCTCATCGTCATGCTAGGCCGACCCACCCATTCAATGCTTGGCAAGAACAGGCGGTTCAGCCAGTGTAGAGATTGGTTCTGAATCCCTCAGAATTCGTCTGGTGATCCCCCTATACCCCACTCAGCGGTGTACATGGTTTTAGTATTGCTCGTGAGAAACAAGACTTACACCCAGAGGCTACGTATCTATAGCCTATTCTGGGATAAAAAGAGACCAGGTAGTAGTAGGTCCGTGCGTGCTGTGGTGGTGGCTAACCGAGCGACCGGTCGTCACGGATGAAGTTCGGAACATTTGAAACCAGGCTTCATTGACAGCGGGAATACGTAGAACTCCGGGAAAGCCACTGAGGAGGGACACAAATGAGCTCAGTGGCAGCTTGAAGGTACTGGGCCATAGAATAAGAGACGCTTAGGGTGGGGTTAGGCTGGTGAAATAGCACGTGGGCGGGTGTTGGTAATTGGAGTGTGATGTATTGAGATAGGTGACGGCTGGGAGGATCTGGTACTAGAGAGAGGCGATTCTTTTGATCACACACGTGGGATGAAGGGTAGCCGCAGCTAGTGTCAACTTGGCTAATACACCACGCCTCGCGTGTTGCCCACGACCAAGCACGTCTCACGGATATGTTATGGCAGAAACTAATGACTGAAGCATTGGTGCATGGGAAGGGCTGCGATCTGGGGTGAGAAGCAACTATACTACTTAGCACCCGGGAGCATCTATAGCGGGCAAAACTCTTTGTGTGGCAGCTGAGGATTTTGACACGCTAGACGTGACATCTCGAGGCTCGGTACACAAGGCTTATTAGGACTATACACATAGGCCCAGGCAATTGGACATCATATGAGTCATCAAAACATGCCATACTCTACAGTGAGATGGTTGTGAAATTTATTCGATCGGTGGTACCACGGCTCGATCCGCCCCGTTGACCAAGTCCGCGACAGTACCATTAAAGTGTGAGCGTTAAAATCTGCGCAATACACCGTATGCCAAGCCATAGCCTTCTATATAGTACAGCCAAGGAACGTTTATATGTGTATATATATATATATAC